TATTTATTCAATTGTTCTATTTTCACTTGTATTTTATTTCACTATTATTTCATTTCAGGTTTTTTTGCTTAATATAATTGTTATTTTCAGCTATTCATTTTTAATTCTACTTTTTTAGTTGTTTCAGGGATTTCAAATCATTTTATATATTAGACAATGGAAGTCCGAACTAGTGAAATTCCTCAGTTTCCTGTCAATTAGCAGATTCTTAATTGTATGTACTAGATAGTTAGGACAATCCAGTTGATGCAGTTTGAATAAAAGACCCTTGTGCCAAATGCTATCGAATGCTTTGTTCGTATCCAGAAAAATCGTTGCCGTTTTATTGTTTTATAGTAAATCTTTCTTGTCCAAATCCAAACTGGTAGCTTAGAATTTTATCATTAAGCAGTTGGAGTAAACGGTTTCGTAAAAGTTTTTCAAAATGTTTACCAATTACAGACAAGAGAGTAATCGGACGATAACTGTCTGCAAGGGAGTGATCCTTGAACTACCCATATTATTTTTGTTTTCTATTAAGTAAAAACCAATTTAAAATTCCGACGTCGTGAAAGTCTATTTGAAAAAATGCGTATTTCAAATAAACTTCTATTATTTTTATTTATTAACATTGATAGAATCGAAATTATTTCAGGAATTATCGATTACAACTTCTTATGCTTCCGAGACGCCATTCAGCGAGTTTTTGAACTGAGGAACAAAAACAATTCTCCCGGAACTAGTACCGCAAGCAACGTTGCCGTTACTAACACCAGCAACGACGAGAGCTCCTCGTGAATGTTTCCAATGCCGAATACTGAATACGTACCTGTTCATCTTCGTTCGGATCAACGCCTAGTTCCACAATAATTATTATTTATGCCTTAGGTTTATGTACAAAGCCACTTCATTTTTATACCTCGGAAGATGTTTTCAAAATATTTTATCTTGTAAATATAAGCTGATAAGGTTAACGCTTGTTTTTGATGCTCAATACTAGTCATGACAATTTGATGTTTGAGCGAATCATTTGTGTTTATATCGTATATTTTTTAATCAGTTCTGTTCATTCTTTATAGTGTAGGATCATAATTCAACGGTAACTCTTCAACAAGCCTGTTTTTCATTTGTTTGTTCAAATTACCCTGCGATGCGTGCAATTGTTTATTCTTGAGAAATTTCCTGAATGCTTCTTTCCTGAGAATTTAAGGATCTCAAGAATATTATGAGTGTCGGGTTTTGCTAAAAAAAAAATCCCTTTAAAAATTAAAACATTTGAAACATCAATTTGAATACTTTTCGAAGTGAATTTGAAAAACTCATGAACTAAACTCAACTTTATTTTATTCAAACTTGCATTTGCTGTGATAACCCAAAGATAGGTGACTTGAGGTACAAATTGGTTCAGGCCAGTCGGCTGTAAAAAGTTTTTGTACTTCTAGTTCTAAAATGAGGCACACTAAAATTTATAAGAGATAACACCTCCATAGCATCCACATTGTTGTGCAGTAATTTATACAGAAAAATAATTCCACCAAGTTTTCTGCGTAATTTAAGACTTTCAATATTGAATGTTATGGTAAGAGATTCGTATGGAATACCTCTAAATAAGCTTTAGGAAACGACATTGAACTTTTTCAATTAATGTGTTATAGCAATTGTAGAATAGAGACCATAGAACAGAACCGTATTATAATTTTGACCTTACGTAGGCTACATAAAAATCGATTTTTCACATATAGTCAGTGGGCAACAAATTGTTCATTTAAATTAGTGTTTCTCAAAGTGGGCGATAACGCCCCCTTGTGAGCGCTGGAAGCCTATAGAGGGGCAGTATAGGGCACAGAGAAGATTGGGGGCGTTGAAACGGTTTAGGGGGGCGATGTCTAGTTTAGCATTTTTTTTTGCTTTCAACACAAACTTTACCGCTCCATTACGCTTAACGCGCGTTTCCTCGTTTAACGCCATCTAGGGGACTAGACAGTTACTATTTCCTGTCCGATAGTTGTCAAACTGTACAATAGATGGCGGTAAGCTTCAATGCGAAGCGAGAAGTTTCTAGTCTCCATTCTCGAAAGTACTAGGCCCAGAAATTTAGAGACGGATACAAAAGGAGAAACCATATATATTACAATGGAAACATTTTGTGATGAGAAAAAAATTTCAATGAAGAATATTTTATCAGCTGCTACGGATGGCGTTGAGGCTATGACAGGATGTCACAAAGGCTTCATAGCGTACTTAAAAAATAAAATTCCAGACGTGCTGGATGTACATTGCGTCATTCATAGGCAACATTTGGTTGGGAAAAATTTGAGGGAGCGCCCCTCTCAATCACTGCAATATATCATCAAAGCAGTCAATAAAATCCGAAACAGCTCTTTAAATTACAGATTATTAATTCAGCTTTGTGTTGCTAATGATGTAGATTTCAACTGATTGCTATTTCACACAGAAATGCGTTGGTTATCAAGAGGTAACTGTCTGACACGATTTTACAATCTATTTGACTCTGTAATAGAGTTCTTGGAAAACAATAACAAAGAATTGCACGATAACCTCATCACTTCAAAGAATAGTATTGCGTACTTGACAGACCTGTATAAATTATTTAATAATGTCAATCTCCAACTACAAGGTGACGACTTGAATTTGAATAAAACAAAAAATGTCATTGCTGCTTTTGTAGCAAATTGCTCTTATACTCGTACAAGAATAATATCGACAGACGTGAGTTTCGCAATTTCCCTAATTTGTCAGCAGTATTCTTCAACAACGACGACTTGCTTGTTCACTGCCAACATTTGGAGAACCTCCACAGTGATTTCCCAGAACAATTCCAGGACATTTTAAAAATGGAAATACCGGATACTTTTTCAAATGTCAACACAGCAGGATCATCCCAGCTGGAAGAAGAAATCACGTGAACGTGGATTTAGTGCTGTGGCAACGTTGCTAACTAAAAAGAGAAATTGGTTGCAAACTATCGCGGTGACTTACGGTTGTTTTTGAGTAAATTCAAGCCTGATATTAACAAGCTTGTTAAAAATCATCAAATTCATCCTTCACATTAGATTAGTTTCAAAATTCAAGTTGAAATGTTTGTTTTAATAACATGAATAAAAGTTTTTTTCAATATTACAAATTGGTGTTTTACATTACCCTCATCAGAAAGTCTCATTTTCACATGACATACATAATTTAATTATTAAAATAATGACTGTGATTGTGATTATCAGGTGGAGAACTTGTTGTTTTTATCAGTTTTTTGCTGATTTTTTTATTTTTCGTCTTACATTTAAAGTTTTGGAGATTCACAAATGTCATCTGTTAAGTTTTCAGAAAACTTTAAATATTTTGTACCACTCATGGAAATAAATTATTACAAGTTGTATACATTTTATATTAATAAAACTATGCAAGATGGTCTCTTTTTATTAATTAATACGCTTTTATTAACTTCACCTGTATGTATGTTTGTTTGTTAGTTTGTAACTCTTCCTTTCATTTCATATTTATTCCCCTTGAATGCTTGGGATCTGTACTTGACAGAATTATCGACATTATTGCTTGATCTATTCGCGGGCAGATGGCGCTCTACGTAATCTCTTTGACATATCGACATTATTGCTTGATTTATTCGCGGGCAGATGGCGCAGTACGTCACTTCCATGATATAATTCGAAGTCACTTTACATGCATTTCTTTATTTGAAAAAAGTATTTTTAACACGCTTTTATTAGTTTCACCTGTATGTATGTATGTTTGTTTGTAACTTATCGACATTATTGCTTGATCTATTCGCGGGCAGATGGCGCTGTATGTAACCTCCTTGATATAATTCGAACTTACGTTACATGTATTTCTTTATTTGAAAAAAGTATTTTCAACACGCTTTTATTAGTTTCACCTGTATGTATGTATGTTTGTAACTTATCAACATTATTACTTGATCTATTCGCGGGCAGATGGCGCAGTACGTCACTTCCATGATATAATTCGAACTCACTTTACATGCATTTCTTTATTTGAAAAAAGTATTTTTAACACGCTTTTATTAGTTTCATCTGTATGTATATATGTATGTATGTTTGTTTGTAACTTATCGACATTATTGCTTGATCTATTCGCGGGCAGATGGCGCTGTACGTAACCTCCTTGATATAATTCGAACTCACTTTACATGTATTTCACTTTACATGTATAAAATGCAAAAATTCAAGTTATTCTGTAAGAATTATGAATTACCCCTCTTTTATTCCTTTTATTTTTTTTCTCTCTCTTACTACATAGGTACTATAATTTTTTTGTACATCATATGTTCGATGAATACTAAGTTTTGTATATTGTAAAGGAGTTGAATGGAAGAGTAGGATTCGGCAAAATACAATAAGTAAAAAAATATGTATTATTTTTTCAAACATTTATATTTATAAAATAGTTCATAGGTGCATTTATTGAATTTAGCTTACATTGTTTTCAAAATGCTGTTTGGTAATACAATTAAAAAGAAATACAAATGAGTGTCAAAAACAAATAAAATTTATTTCAGAAAAAAATTAAGAAAAATGTACATTAGTAGTGAGTACGTCCACACATGGCTCTAAGAAATTCGGCACAACGACGAGGTATGCTTGGTTCAGATTTTGGAAGGGTTGATGATCCTTCAAACGACTTTCCGGTTCATCCCAGAGCTACTCAATAGGATTTAAATCCGGACTATTAGCTGGCCACTGCTCTAAATTCCAATTACGATACTCTTGACAAAAGTTTCTACGATTTCCTCGATGAGCTGGAGGTAACCTAGGGGCTCTAGCAGGTCGTCTTGCATGGAGTTGTACTTCGTGAAGTCGGTTTCGTATCGTTTGGTTCGAAATTCGCGTTCCCGTAGCTTCTCTGCTGCCCAAAGTTGTAACAAACGATCTTCTCTGCGGGTTGTTGCCCTTTGTCGATTGGGATAAGACGCTCTTTTTACTATGCCGTAAATTTGGTAGCGATTCCAAGCTCTGGAAACCGCAGAATGACTCACATTAAGCATTTGGGCTACACGACGCCTTAAATATCCTACTTCGATCAATGCCACTGCTCTAGCAACTTGAAATTCGTTGAGGTACACCCTACGTATCCTTCTTCTACCCAATACATCAACATTCATTGTTTAAATTTTAAAATTCAATACCTATCACGAACTAAAGTAAAGTGAAACTAAAGTGGATTTTAAGGATGTGTCTCTATATTCATTTTGAGTAGTTTATATACTTAATTTATAAAGAGTTGGAGAAAACACTACTTTGGGAAAAATATGTTCTAAAAAGTAGTATACCAATAGGAGTTCTGGTGCACAACCCCCGCCACTTACCATATCCGCTAACCCCTTTTTATCCCAGCTATGGTACCAGAGTGACAGATCGTTGGTACAGTCCGCTTCTTCTGGCGGATTTTTGATCTGGATCTTGTTGAGGCACCGTTTGCACTTGAGCTTCTGGTGTGTGTCGGATTCTGTGTTTTCCAAGCGGAACAGATCCCGCAGTTCGGCTACGCTAAAATGACGTGCCGTCTCCTCGTTCATGTCGACTACCGTCGAGCTGAGAGCTTTCTTATGCGCTTGGCGCTGAAAGATTTTTTCTTCGATGGAGCCCGCCTGAAATCCGATTTAGAATTAGATACACAACAA